CAGTCCTTTCTTTGCCGAAAGAGAGACTTTTAACCCAAACAGAAGGAATTTAAAACCCCATAGGAGGCAGAGACCATCCAGGCAGGAGGCTCAGAAGGTCGAAAGGTCTCCAACAATGTCCCATTCCCACGATACTTGTTCCAAATATCTGCTGTTGGTTACCTTTATTACCTGTTGTTTGGAGAAGAAAGTAGGGAGGAAAGTGTTGGGAGTCTTTGAGCTCTTTCCTCCTTCTGTGCCTCCGTCCTCACGTGTACATTGGGGAGGGTGTCAGGATCCACGTCTCCATTGATTTAACGCTCTGGTTTGGGGAGAAAAGTGTCTTTCTGCCTACAGAGTGCACCAGGCCTGAACTCATCCAGGACTCTAGAGGCCACTGTAATATTAACAATAGCACAGATATAGAATTAAAATAAAATACCGAGTCAAGAAGATTCATTGCTAACCAATGGAGCTTAATCACTTGAATGAATTGATACATGAGGAAATCAGAAGGTGTCTGGGGATATTTCACAAACGTCAGAAGAATGAAAATTCTTGTGAACCTATTATTCACAACTCACTAATTACACCCCAGATCACCTGGATGATGACAGACATGTTTATCATTTCTCTAGGCGATACAGACATCCACCTGAGCACAGCCTGGTGGGGAGGATGCTCACGCACATCAGAGACCTGGACCGATGTAGAAACCAGGACCGTATTGACCCTGCAGCTGGTCTCTGAGCCCCACAGACCTTGTTGCAAAGCTCTTAGTCTTTAGGAGAGGCTTCCCTGCATCCCTTGATCCTACTCTGAGTGGATGGCAGCTTTTTTCTTTGGGTAATTTGCTGGTTTTATGGAAGGAATTGCCTTTGCAGTTGTCCTAATACAAGTCTCAGGAGACGGTTTGTTTCCCAGTTTTATCACGGTTTCTGGGTGGCTTATATGTGGTCATGATTCTTCCATATGTCAGTTATTGGTTTTCTATTTATGAAGGAGATAAATGAAGCACAGAAAAAAACCAAGATCTTAGAAGGATCTGGGGAACACCTCAGGTACAAGTTCAAACTTTCAAACAAAGAAGATCTCTCTTTTGTTTTGGACAAGGATTACTTGTGTGAAATCCCTCTCATTAGAGGTTAGAAAAATCTGACTCAAAATAGCTTAAGCAGAACAACTCCTGCCCTGGGGTATGGGAAGCAGGAGCTGCCCTCCTGAGCTGTCCTCCAGCCCTCTCTTCCACAGCCCAGCAAGCTACAGAAGAGATTTGAAAGTGGATTTGGATGCCTTTGCCACCCTCCATCCTTTGCTGTGACAGTTTTGCTGACACTTCTCTTTCCACAGGGGTTCCTGAGGCTTACAGAAGTGATGTTGCACGCACTGGGATAGCTGAGCCATTGCAGTCCACTGCACAGTCTGTGGGGTGGGCATTTGGGCTGCCCAAGGGCTGGGCCACCCCACCAAGCTGTGCTTGGGATGGGGACCGTGTGCTCTGCAACGCACGTTGGCATCAGCCTCTGCACATGCTCGAGGAAGAGGTTGGCGAGGAAGAGGTTGGCGAGGAAGAGGTTGGTAAGGAAGACTCGCTGCAACGTCAGGGCAGAGCATGTCGGCAACCCCCATGTGTCCACCTATAAAACCTCCATTCCAGGAAGGTGGCACCCTGGGCCTCTTTTTACTTCCTTTCCTTATCAAGATCGTGCTGCAGGAGAAATCTCCGCCATTAATGTTGCAAAGCGGCTGATTCGGTGATGTGTCACGTCCTGCAGTCTGGGCCAGGCAGGACACCAGGAGATGGAGAGGATGGAGGCTCTCACCTGGGCTGGGTGAGGTGCGAGAAGCCACTGGGGACATGATGCTGTGAGTCACCGACTCCAGATCCCCACTCTACTGCAAGAATCCTCCCAGGTGATTCCTCTTCTAACCCTACCGGGCCATATCTTACAAGGAGTTAGAGGGTCCAGCCAAGTGCCCCCCTGATGTCTACGAACCCATTTCTAATTTCCATTTGACACTTATTCCTGGCCAGATGACCCCCATTTCTCCCTCCTGGGTCAAAGTCTTCAGCTCTGAGAGCTCTCGTCCCTCCCTGTTTTTTCCCAACATCTCTCAACCATCAGAATGGCACCGAACATCACGAAGTATCAACTGCTGAAGACACATAGGTCCTGCAGGAGCTCCCTCCCTTGGGGTGAGACAAGATCTGTCATGCTTGTGATCTCTGAAGGTCCAATGGACCATGGACCAGAGCATTTCTTGTCCACCAGGTTTGGTATCCCCTCTTGCTCTGCCCTAGCCATGCCATTCCCATTCCTGAATCCTCTTCCTAGCTTTTTTTCCCAAGGCTTTTTTTACCAGCTTATGATGCAAGACAAACTGTACCCGTTGTCTCATCAGTGAATGAAATGACGTGCCAAGCACAGCCTCTCATTTTTACCTCTCTGATGAAATGTGTGGTTTTTTCTTAACTTAGTGTATTAGCATTTAAATCAGTTGCATAAAGAGGCCGTGATGAAAACTGTTAGTTCTCAACAAGGAAGTTGTCTGGAGTAGGAATAAAAAGACACCAGGTTGAATCAACCAGGAACCTTGATGTGAACGGGGTGCTGCAAACACCACCTTTGGCCAGGAGAAGGAACAGAAGCAATTCCAAGGGATGAAGTGAAAAACATTGACACAAGGGGGTTATGGACCATAATTTTTTATTGCCTCCACGTCTACTGTGAAATAAGGAGGTGAATAGCACTTAATATTTCACAGAGACAGTGGGTTACACCTTCAAAGCACTTTACAAGCAAAACGATAGGAAGAGTGGAGATCCGTGAGCAAGACAGGACATGCTGCCCATCAGGGCAAGGTTGCAAGAGTGAGAAGTTTCCCCCCGTTCATCCCCACTCCTCACGTCCGTCACTTTATCTTCCTGGCTGGCACTTTGCAGACCTGCTTTTGCTGCTGGCTTGGGATGGACTTTGCCACGGGCACGCAGCCTTGCTGCACCGGAGGGGGACAGGTCTGCACTGGGCAGCTCTGCGGGACGTGCTGCGTTGGCTTGCTGTGGCACGGCTTCCCCCCCTGGTGCCCTGATCCGTGGCACGTCTCGGAGCAGACCGACCTCCCATAGCTCTGGCAACCCCCCGATGACCCGTAGCTGTACGTAGGTCTCCTGACACAGCTTGAACCACCTCCGTGGTATGAACCCGAGGACCCTTGGCATCTCTCGGAGCAGACCGACCTCCCGTAGCTCTGGCATCCCCCTGATGACCCGTAGCTGTACGTAGGTCTCCTGACACAGCTTGAACCACCTCCGTGGTATGAACCCGAGGACCCTTGGCATCTCTCGGAGCAGACCGACCTCCCATAGCTGTGGCACCCCCCCGATGACCCATAGCTGTACGTAGGCCTCCTAACACAGCTCGAACCCCTGTCTCCGTGGCACGAATCAGCTGCAGCATAGCCGTGGCATCTCTCGGAGCAGACTGGCTGCCGATAGCCGTAATGACGGTAGTTGTGCCCTCTCATGCCTTCAACACCTTCGCCGTCGCAACCCGAGGAGCAGGTGTTGTAGCCGTAGCGGAAGGGGGTGCGCCGGGTGTCCAGCCAGGACCCCGAGGGATCATACCAGGTTGAGTTCATGTTGAAGTAGGATTCTCTTCCAGAAGAGTATATCATGTTTGAGCT